CACTATTCTGAGGTATTAGGCTCCAGATTGGGGGTGAGGGTGCCAGGCTCTTCCAGTTCATCATGTAATGACATCTTTTAAAACCATAACTTAAGAGATTTAAAACAGATCATAAAAAGAAGACATTTCATTAAAAATGCAGGTGTTTGTAACAATAGGTATCCATTAAAAAATGAAATGGGCATTTTCTTGCCACAATTTTGAAGACAAAAACATGTAAAAGAGTGGAAGGCTTAGAATAGTGCCATTACTCCCACTGTCGCTGTTATTACCACCAATAATTGCGAATGCCATTTGAATCTTACCAGAGGCTGCCATTAACAGAAGAAGGTGTGTAAAGGTGGATTCTGTCACTTGTCATTTGCTGACTCAGAGACAGTATAAGAGCAGCGAAGTACACTGAGAAAAAGATAAATGAAATTACTAATAATGTACTTTTAACAGTCAAGTTTATTTTTAATTTATAGATTACTTTAAGGCCAAAAGTAATTGTACTTTAGGGAATGACAATATAAAAGAAATTCATTTGATCAATTTCAATAGGCTGGATTATTTTTTAAGAACACAGATACTTTTGTGATGCTCACTATTTTATCTTTAGAAATGACTAGAACCTAGAAGATCTTTTAATAAATTAAATAACTGACTCAAGGTCCTAAGACTAGTTTCGTTAATATTTTCATAACAGAACAAAATGTATTCCAAATTATCCAAAGATATCATTTGTTCCTGAAATGCTATGCCAGCTCAATCTGTTTAATGTCAAGTAAAAATAGGAAAGCTAAACATTACTTAATAAGAACAAATTAAACTTTTGAAAGTTACTAAGCTCAACTTCTATTGAAAAATAATGTTATCAAAATTACAGTTACCATGCTTTTTAAATTACAAATTCTACTGAACATCTATAAGTAATGCTTATCGGTAGCAATAACATAAAATCTTTTAAAAAATAAAATTAAACTTTTCCTTGTTCAAAATTACAATGTAACTCAAGTATAACACAGTTATCAAATTAAACTATTTACTCACAGAAAGATGCAAAAGCTGTTGGATCCAGGGCAAGAAAATTTCGGATTGCTACTGATGTTTTGGCAAAGTCAATCCTAGAAAATACAAAAGTCTCTTGTCACAGTGCAACCATAACCTTCTTACAAAATGTGACTAGCGTTTTCCCTTCTCTGTTCTAATGCCTCCACGTTTATTGTCTCTTGTTAAGCTTTAAGGAAATAGGGTCTTTGCAGCCGTGATCAAGTTAAGATGAGGCCATCAGAATGGACCGTAATCCAACGTGACTGGTGACCTTAAAAGAAGAGACACAGGCACGGAGACACTCAGAAAGCCTGCCATGTGACAACAGAGGCAGAGACTGGAGTGATGAGTCTACAAGCCTGGGAACCTGGGATGGCCAGCAGCACCGGAAGCTGGGAGAGGCATGGGACAGGCTCTCCCTTGGAGCCCTCCAAAAGGGAGCCAACCTTGCCGACACCCTGAGTTCAGACTCCTCGCTTCCAGAATGTGAGAGCAACAATTCCTATTGTTTTAAGCCACCCAGTTTGTTGTACTTTGCTATAGTAACCCCAGTAAACTGATGGAATACCCAGACTCTCTTCTATAGCTGATTAAAAGTATTTGGAAGATCATATTTTGGACTTTTTGAATTGATTATATTTGAAAGAAATTTTAGACTTAGAGTGATGCCGAAATGAGTTAAGACTTTTGGGTGTTGTTTTCTCCCCCCCCACAGTATTCCCACCTCCAACTCCCTCCCGCAAATAACAGACTGGCCTAAAGAAGTCAAAACAATTCTATTTTGAAAGTTGTCATCGTCAGTGACACATTTTGCTCAACATTTCCCCCTGAAGAAAAGTTAGAAGGATCTATAGTCACAGCAGTCTTACCTGTCAAAAGCTGAAACTGTACTTAGAGCCAAAAGCAAGTAGAGAAGACTCTGGAATGGATATGCTAACGTCTTGTATTGTTGCAGAAGGTTGGGGAGGTTAGAAAGCTGATGTCCTGCTAGAACATATATCACAATAATATTCCACACAGCACAGCCAGCCAAGAAGCCATGAGAAAACAGACCCACCATCCTGAATGGAAAAGGGTTTCATTATTACGCATGAATTACTAAAGTCAAAGGCTAAAATACTTTTAAAACCTATTCACATATAAGAATAAAATTCAACATTTCATAAAAAGTAAAATCAAGCATTTTCTTATTTAACAGTGTTGAACAATCAACACTTTTAAA